GAGGAAATAACAAAAGGCTGGGATGTTGTTGTCATACAGTTGTCTATGGCAGCAGATCACTGTGTTTCTTATGGTCAAAGTGATGGCTGTGATGGGAGCAGTCGTGAACGATAAAAAGAAAATCAAATATGCTAGACTTTCTGTTGGGACGTTGTGAGGTGTCCCAGACGTGGCGCCAGTTGTCTTTAACTATGACACACTACAGGAGATGAAAGGATGAATTGTCGTTTACGACACTCATTTACGATCCACGCCGACACCGTACATCGCTGCGTCAGGCTAGAATTGGGTTGATATGGTGTAGTGTGTACCAGGCATAAGGCTGCTTGAAAGCAGAGGACATAAGGAGTTGGACTTCAGTTTGGTTTTCTTTGTGTGTTAATGCATTTAATAGTTGAATAAAACTCAAAATGTTTGAAAGATGTGGACAACTGTAACATATCCAAGCCCTGCATATGTGTGCTGGTTTGGCTCAGTGTGTCTGAATTTAAACTGTCAACCCTGCAGTTCCCATAATGCATATTGATTAATGCCATGTCTTGTACCCATTGATCTACCAACATCCTGGCTAATATTTAAGGGAAAAGATAAAAGTTCAAAAGGAAAGAGGTCTTAACTATTACAAACATTGTGAAATCAATCAGATACTGCTGCAAGTGTAATCATCTAATCAACTATGTGAGATTTAAAACAATTACTATTTATTTTTTACAGATGCATTAGACAGGCTTTAAACCTCCAATCACCAGTCCCACATTGAACAACTGGCAGGTGCTGAACTACAGAGAGGTCTGAATAGTTAAAGAGAGAATTCTAAACCATCCAAACAGACGCAGAAGTATTACTTTGAAACAGTTATAATTCAGAAATACTACTGAATACAGCGGGGTTAAGTAGCACAAAAGTTGTAGTAGCAGTAGTAATAGTATTGGAAGCAGCAGCAGCTACCAATACTAATTGGTAGAAGTAGTAGTGGCAGACAGGTTTGAACAGGTGACCCAACATTCTCTAACATAATCATTGATGTAACACTGTAAATTAAAAAAAAAAAAAAAGCATATCTTAAAAAGTATAAATGCTTGACAAAAGCTGAAGAAGAGCACACATGTCCTTGAAGAGCTGAACATTTTGACATATGAATGGTTGCTGTAGTTCAGAGCATGCAGGAGGAGAAGCCAACTGAAGAAATGTACGGAAGAATAACAGTAAAGATTGGATGACAATATTAGGAATGCTGCATCAGCATTTACACTAACAAAGCTTGTTAAGCTACAGCTTAAAGTTAACTTTTTTCCTAAATAAATTAAAATGATAAATGAAAATTGCACTGATCAATGCAGAGCAGAACACACTGAAAGTATACCTTATTTACATTACAGCTGTGCACATGCATAGTGTGCAGTATTCCCAAAATAATAATATACATATTCCCATATCCCAAAACACAGTTAAAGTTAAACAAATGACTCCAAATCTACTGCCAAACAGTGGAACTGAATCACTGTTTGGCAGTAGGGCAGGTTATAAGCCTCTCTAAGGCTGCGCTACCTGTGTGAGCAGCATGTGACGGCTACCTCACTGAACCACTGTGGCTTGCATGCACAAAAGCCAGTATTTCACTAACTTATGGAGCAGTGCAAGCCACTGCATTGTCCACAACATGGTCCTGCAAGTATTTCAAAATAAGGCTTGTGTGTTAAGGATTCTGTCCCAAGCGGCGACCTCTGAGGCTGAAAAATGAAGGCTGGCTCCAAGAGTGAGTCAGTCCCCATGGACCCCTATGGTAAAATGCCCAACTTTATAGCAGAAATAAACATGTTTACAGCCTGGTACAAAAAATTAGTTTTGGTCTCTATAGGTAATTTCAACATTCATGACAACCTGTAATTCACCATACATTTTATTAAGGCTTAACCTTGTGCCTATTTAAGGGCGGGGCCACTTGAGTGACAGGTTGTCTGTGAGACATTGCCACAGTCTTTGATTCACATCCATCCCTCGCTCCTCCACAGCTACACCAAATATGGTCACCTCTAGCTCCAAAAAAAGATGGTGATGGCTGAAATGCCAAACTCAAGGCTTTAAAGCGGCAGTCCACAAACCAATAGGTAATGTTATGGTAGCTACATCAATTATTTTTACACCCTGTGTTCTGTCCACACAGGGTCCAGATTGTCAGAGGGCTTTTATTTTGAAACGTAAAACGTCAAACACGAAGTGTTGAGTTAAAATATATATATTTATGTTTTTTCATGTCTGACAGATACAGACATTGAAACTGTAGTGAAAGTGGTATAATGTCATTATGAGTATCAAAAGACAATTTTCAGTCTACTTTGACTAAAACCTGCACGTCAGGCAGAAAAAATAGACGAGACTCTGAATCTCTAGAGGCTAGGCAGCTGAGCAGCAGCCTGGCCGTGTCTAATCATGCAAACAGTGCTGCTCTCATCTGTTAACAATTTTATATAGTCTATAGTTAACATGATTGTGAAAAAAAGAGAAAAACATAAACAGAGGTTATACAACACAGACACTGCTCACGCAGGCACTGTGGCCCGGGTGTAAACAGCTTATCGATGGACTTGCATTTACCCTTTTTACTTCAGGGTGGTTGACAGTAAATGTTATCTTATACACCTGTTAATTGGTTACATTTTAGCAAACAGGACTACACTGTGATGTCATGAATGTTTAGAATTCCATTGAATGATGGTTATGAGCTATGGTTTTGGAATGTTTATATCACAAAAAAAATGTCTATGTAGCATACATATTCAGCAGTATCATGTCATTTATCATTCTTTGAATATAATTTTTTGTCATTCTTTCACTGGCTTGCATGAGGTCCTTATTTACAGGTGACCCTGTGTGACTAAGGTTTGCATTTTACTGCAATGTCATTCAACTTTTCACCTGACTGGCTTAGTATATCACTTTAACAGTGCCACATATACCCAGTAGATGTCTTAATGGACTGGATTCCTAGTAGTTGGATCCAAATTGGATTGTCACAGGTCTCTGGCCTGTGTGTCAATATGTCTTTCTCTCTTCCTGCTTAGATGGGTGATATACTCAATCTGTAATAGTACCCATTAATAAATCAAAATGTAGTCATGCACAGTGGATTCAGGCAGGTTTTTCCACTCAACCAATTCCAGAATTCCGGACCTATGAAGACCTGTGTTGTCCAGCTATACTGCAGTTTGGGTAAATGTCAAATCTACACCATTTACCACTTGCTGTGTGTTCATCACCAGCTCTTTTCATGGTTCTTTGAAGTATGACACAACACAGGTGCCACCTACTATTTGGAAATTTGGTACGAGTTCACACTGTGACAATAAATGCTTTTTGAAGTGATGTGGAGGGAAAACAAATGATCTGAAGAGCTCAGTAGTCCAGGAGGCACAACACAGAAGCAATGGCCAAAACATACCTTGTGCAACAAGCCCTGAAATAACTTAATTACAGTGGTTTTCCACTGTTGTTATAGTTTTTCTTTTCTACAAATGGTACCACACATTTCTCAACACTGAATTCACTTCTTCTAAACTTTTCACTCAGTCAGCACAACAGAAGTCAATGTTTGCACATGTAAACATATTTGTCAAAAAAAAAAAAAAGACGTTAACATTTACGTTCCAAACCAAACACTTTTTCACATCTATATGTAAAAATAAATTAAATGTATAAACTCCTGATTGGAACTTAAGAGTGCAGCTCTTAGTGTCTGGTTTCATTCATAATGACCTCTATGAAAGACGTGTCAGGTAAGGGAGGGGAGCATTTTGTAACTGTATGGTGGTTTTCTGCCCATCCCAGGATAGTCACTTTTCCTGCCAACTTATCCTCTACTCTGCAACTGTAAAGGTATTCTTTTCCTCATGTAGGGGTGTGTATGACCACCTGCCACATGATCAAATGTCCCATTCTGGACACCAAGACTGCCAGGATGGATCAGGCATGCAGGTGTGTTTTTAAAATAGGAAAGAAGGTTGTGATGTAGATGACAGTCCATCCATTTTCATCTGCTTATATGGGGCCAGGTTGCGGGATCAGCGGGCAGAGCAGGGTACTCTGGATGTCCCTCTCCCTGGCAACGCTTTCCCGTGGCGTTCCCAGGCCAGATGAGATATATAATCCCTCCAGTGTGTTCTGAGTCTGCCCCAGTGCCTCCCACCAGTTGGACATGCCCAGAACACCTCTAACGGGAAGGCACCCAGGAGGCATCCTGATCAGATGCCCGAAACACGTCAACTGCCCCCTTTCAACACGAAAGAGCAGCGGCTCTACTCCGAGCTCCCCCCAGATGTCTGAGCTCCTTACCCTAATTCTACAGCTGAGCCCAGAAACCCTACGGATGAAACTCATTTTGCATTTTGTATCCGTGATCTCATTCTTTCAGTCATTACCCAAAGCTCATGACCATGGGTGAGGGTTAAGACGTAGAAGGACCAGTAAATCAAAAGCTTTGCTTTCTGGCTCAGCTCCCTATTCACCATCACAAATACTGCCAATACAGATAAATACAGATTAAAGTGTCGGCTAATGTTATTGTATTTCTATATCTGTAGCTGTCTTATACAAGAATGTATTGTAAATACATAACAATATACAACATAATGTAGTGTTTTACTGCATTATTTTAGTTTCATTTTGTGCACTTGGCATTAAATCAAACAATTAAAAATAGAAAATATATCCTTTAAACATCATTTCTGTGACACATACTATAAGGTAGCACAATCAATCCATGCCCTTTTTTGTTGTATTTATGTCTTGGTCTATGCTAAATAAATGAATAAATGACAATTATGATCCAGGTTGATTTTACCTGTTGTTCATGTTGTTGTGTATCAAGTGTTTTGGCTGCAATGGTGTATTTTGGATGCTGAGCTGCATGTCAATAAAGAGCACTGTGTAAATAGTAGTGAATAAATTAACTCAGTATAGAGAAATGTATGCTATCAATTAAAAAAAAAAAAACAGTCCAAGTCTCTTTTATTAGGTCTTGTAGGGTTTGCTGATGACCTTGTCAATCCATCGCAGGAACCTGCTAACACGTGTGTACACTCCAGGAAATGAAGGGTTACCACAGCCATGACCCCACGAGATGACTCCTGTCAGCACCCAATGGCCCCCCTCTGCCTGACAAACCAGCGGACCCCCACTGTCACCCTGGCAACTGTCCACACGGTGGCGCTCCGACAGGCTCCCAGCACACAGCATGCGGCTGGTGAAGCGATCACTGTAACGCTTCTTACACTTCCAGGCTGGAAGCAAGGGGACCCAGGCCTGGAGCAGAGTTCGGGAGTACTCCGAGTCTGACAGCAAGAAGCAGACAGGACAAAAAAAAACATGACATCTGACAGAAATACAAATAATGAAGCAAAGGCTGCAATAGAATTACAGGGGGAAGAGCATGCATATGTGCGCCAAATATCAGATGCGCCGCACAGTTGTGGTCAATGTACAGTAGAATGTGTGTTGCTCTTTAAGAACTGGACATGGTCTACAGGTAAATGTATGCTACTGAAGATACATACACTACATGGTGATACCTAAACCCGTGTTAAAGGAATAGTTCTGATTTTCTGAAGTGGGTTATATGAAGAACTTATCCATAGACAACATATTACATACAGTAGATGTTAATTTGCACACCCCCAGTCCAACATGGAAGCTAAGCAATGTACTGCTGTGGAGGGGTCAGCGACAAAATGTATTTGAGCCACCTCAAAAAATTTTTTAAGTGTACGCTATATTGGAGTATTTTCATCACTTTACCTTTTCCATCAGACAGATGGTTACAATGGGGAAGCCAATAAAGGCTTCAGCTTCCCATCTACCCGCTCGTCAAAGCCACCAGACTCCACTGAAAAAAGCAGTATTTTTAGCTCACTGAACAAGGGAGCCACTGGTCTACTGCTGCTTCGATCAAATAGTTAGTTTGTGTTATTGTGTGACTTTGGTGAATCTGAACCAACCAACCCTTTTAAACGCCAAAGTCACACAGTAACACAAACTAACTAACTGATCGAGGCAGTGATAGACAAGCAGCTCCTGTGTAAATATTAAATTACTGTTTTTCTCAATGGAGTCTGGCTTTGAAGAGGGCGATAGAACAGTTTCATTTTCAAGATGGAAATCAATGTCTGACGTTAAGGTAAAGTAGTTTATTTCACTGAGCTGACAGTTCTTTGGGAATACTCAGTGGAAGAAGCCTATGAAAGGAAAAAGCTTAGGTATGCAGACTTAGGAGCAGAAGCTGAGCAGCGGGGGTGGAAAACTAGGATTTGTCCAGTGGAAGTGGGGTGTAGGGGATTCATAGCAAAATCAGCTGTCTCGCTCCTGGGGGAACTCGGAGTGTGGGGACAGATTTTGAGGAAGACAGTGAAGGAAATGTCAGATGAAGCAGCTAGATGTAGTCAGTGGATTTGGATGAAGAGGAATAATGTCAGTTGGGGGCCAGCAGGGGGACCTACTAAGCAGGGTACGTAACTCCTTGAGTGGCCTATTTGAATCCCTTTGTTTGAGACCATGCTGCAAGGTGAGTGTGTTTGCAGATTCTGAGTTAATCTTTTCTATCTCCCTTAACTTTAGCTCATATTGGAGTTATGATATGTAGCGTGTGAAATAGGATATGATGAATGTGCTAGGAAAGGTAGTAACAGCACTGTCTCTACCTGGAGCTCGCATAAACGGAGCCTGGGTTTGTTGAAGGTGGCAGTGCTGTTTGGGCTGAGAAAGCCATGTGTAAGTAAGGTAAAGGACGTTGTTGGGTTGGTGCGGGGAGCAGTGAGACCTGGCATTAGGGGAGTGTCTCTGGGACGCCAGAGATCACTGTCTAGCCTCCTGGAGGTGTCGTGGGACCAACTAGACGAAACACTGGTGAAAGGAGGTTCCCACCCGATGACCCCGAAGACATGTTAGTTATCCCTGCTCACTGGTCTGTACAGTTAAGCCTTGCCATAATAGCTTATCATAGGGCTTAGGAGGTTATTCACTGAGTGCTGATCCTTTATCTAGAGCACAAATTTCTTGTGTTTGTTTGAATTCTAAATATAGCATACAGTTAAACTGATACAGATTTTTTAGGTGGGACTTTTTTAGGTGGCTAAATACGTTTCGTTGCTGACCCCTCCATAGCAGTCAAACTCCAGCCTGCTTCTCCAAACTGGGGGCGTGCAGACTGACATCTACTGTGTTTAATATACTGTCTTTGGATAAATACCCCATACAACATGACATTTTGAAGGAAGGATATTGGACTTTTTTTCTGGTTGGATTACTCTGTGCCATGGAGGAAAAATGTTTTTGAGATCTACTGTAGTGGACATTTTATGGTAGCCCTTAGAGTCAAAGCAAAACAACATTTGACAAAACAGAACAAACTTAACTAGAAGTGAAATGTTGTAATGTTTTGTGAAATGTTTTTATGAAATGTCTTTGTGTTTTGTGAAATGTGATCTTGTTTTGCTGTTGTGTTTTGTGAAATGTTGTGTTTTTTTTATTTTGTAGTGTTTTGGGAGATGCTGTAGTATCTTAATACATTCTGCTCAAGCTGACATTGAAGTTTCCTTTTAGTACTTTCTTTTGGTGGTGCCACCAGGGAATTAAAGGTAGTCCCAGTTAGTGTTCATTAATACCACTGTTTGGATGAATCCAGACAACAGAGAAGTGTAGGGAAAATGATGTTGTACAGCTGTTCCTGTTTGATCCTGTTTTGTTTTTTTTCCCCCGTTAAAGGGTTTTTTTGGGGAGTTTTTGCTTATCCGCTGCGAGGGTCCAAAGGACAGAGGGATTTCGTATGCTATAAAGCCCTGTGAGGCAAATTGTGATTTGTGATATTGGGCTTTATAAATAAAATTGATTGATTGATTGAAGACACGTGATGGTCAGAGCAGTTCGGTTACCTGTGATGCCCCAGCCAGTGATCACACAGGCAGCCGGCCTCTTCTCCCACTTGTTACCTGGCTCTGGCAGACACACTGCACCAGTGTGAGGGTTAAATGCTACACAGTTGCCCTCTGTGCCTTTGAGCCGCAGCAGGGCGATGTCGTACTCCCAGCCCTGGTTGTGGTATTTTCTGTGGATAACAATGCGTTCAGGGGACAAGGTGCGTTCAAAGTCATCCTGCTCCTCAGTATGGTAGTCACCCAGGCGCAACACATAGCGGGTCGGGTCTCTGCCAAATCTGAAGGAGCAAAGCAAATTTGGAAGTTGGTCTTGAGAAATGCATTTGCAAGAATAAGGTCAGGAGAATCATTTAGGATCCAAACCACTGGGATAATGGCCTTTTATCCCTGTTAAGGTCGGGAAGAAGGTACCAGACACATATTCTTTTTAATGCACAATTTGAGGAACTGACAGAATTACATTTCATTGGAATTGTATCCTATATGATTACATGTGACACATAAATTGATTGACTGATAGATAATGTTACGACAACAACATTTCATTTTAGCAAATAGGCACCCATGGTAAAGACCATTTGATGTAACAAAAATGTGATGAAAATATGATGAATGATAAAAATAAAGACTGTCATAATAATGAACATGGAAGGAATTCTATACAGGAAAAGTTTCAGCTGGTTGCAATCTGCAATCCTCCAAGCTACATTCCACTAAATCCCGTTGAATCTTACACACTGTTACTTTAATGCATAGCTGGAAAGGACAGACTGTCCTTCCAGAAAAACGGCCTAATAGGTTGTCTGTGCAGGCAGCTCATTACAACCCATATCTGGGATCATTGTTAGGTGGTGACCTGTAGTGACTGTAGTAATCATGACAGGAGCAAAGGGGGAGTCAGGTGACACAGTATTAAGAGCAACAAAATCACTGTAGGATGGAGTGTGAGGTGGGTGGAGGGGTCAAACAAACAGGACTTTGACCCAGGGGACCGCAGTTTATGTCCGATGTGAAACCAAAAATCAATGTTAACTCTTTTTTTGTATGTATGTATGTTTTTTATGTACATAAGTTAACTTACATTATGTACATAATGTGTTTAATTTACATACACAATTTAAGTTATGTAACAAACCTTATTTTTATTTTAACCTTAAATATAATATTTTCCTAAACCAAACTAACTGGTTTTATTGCCTAAAACGAAAAAAGTAAAACTGCAACTGTTTCACAATGTGAGTGCATGTGTCCATCACTGGTACTCTCCAATGATCATGTAGTTTTGTGAGTCACTGGCAAATGACCTGTTGTATCGTTTGGTTATGAGGATGTGTTGGGAATGTGACATCAATGAAAGGGAAACGTGATAACAGGTGTCCATTAGAGGGCGCTGTCTCCTACCTCTTAAAGCAGTGGGCAGCAGTCACAACCCAGCAGGGGTTGATGAGTGATGCTCCACACAAAGGATGATTTCCTTTAGACTGAGACCTGAGCCACAGAGACACCTGCCAGGGCCACTCACCCCTGAAATCACATACATACAAGCCACAGTTATGCCTTTAGGGGGGCAGCTGCACAATCCCACCAATCTGGAAATCCATCGGTGTGAAAATAGTCCGGGGGCCAAGGGGCTAATTTTCACAAATTGGTATCACTTAAAGGGACCAAACAATTTTGGTATTTTTCTTCCTCTATCCTCTATGTCTCTAGTTTACATTTTGGTATGATAGACCTGCCTATGTAGTAGCTTAATAAAAATGTCTGGATGATCTTTGGGTCCTCCTGAAAATAGTCAAAATTGAGGCCTCTCCAAAAGGGACGGTGTCTTATCACATGAATCTCGGGAAATAATTATCAGAATGTCACCAAATTTGGACTGAATGTTCACAGACAGTTGCTGCAGACAATGCAGCAAAGATTTCATCAGTACCTTGCTCCTTTTAAAAAATGTATACACCTAAACACACATGAATTACAGGCTGACATGGAATAATGAATAAAAAATCCAAAAGGCATGTTTATATGTGTTTGCCATTATGAATGTTAATAAGCCAATCACCCCAAAATTGCATTTATATGTGCCAAACATGTCATCTTATCATAAAAGTAGGTTATTAGATTATTCATCTCACCATCTCATGTCACCAGCCCCTGAGAGGTAACTAGTGCAGCCAGAACTTCAAACAGACAAACAGAATGGGGCCCTATTAGTACAGGGGCTAAAGGGATTGTTTTCACAACTTGGTAGGCCCCTATCACCCACGGAGACCAAACAATGTTGGTATTTTTATTACTCTACAGGTCTCTAGTTTATATTTTGGTATGATAGCCCTGCCTATCTATTAGCTTAATTATAGTTATCACTCTGTAAACAAACTTACACCCGTGTAGGCAAAACACTACAAATAGGGCGAAAAATTAATTAATAGATATCCCAATGTAACTTGCCAGGTTGATCATTCATATTAAGACAAGTATTTTTTGTATTACAAATTTTCTGAAATATTTTATTTAAATATGCACCAATTTTATTAATGAAGACAATCACAAGGAGGGGAAATTGATTACGCAGTTACTGTGCTAACACTCAGTATTACTGTAGCCTACAGTGGGCCTATTAGCACTCAGAGCTGCCCAGTTGCTATTTGACCCATAACTAGGAGACAAAGGGAGTGCTACCGCTTGCTTAAGGCGGACTCCCAGGCTAGCAGAGGGAAGGAGGTGCCTTATTTCTCCATTTCTCCATTGTAGGCCGTCCTAAAATAGGGGGGCCCACCTGCTGCCCTCATCTTAGCTAACACTACTATAGAGCTACTATTCTGAAATTGAATGTCAGCGAGCATGGAGAGACAGCAATTGCAGACTCTGAATCAGGTGGAGAAGAGACAGGAGCTGTGGCTGGTGATTCCTTAAAACAGAGGGAGAGATGGCATACGGCAGAGCACAGAGATAATGTCAACGCTAGGAGCACGAATCATTCAGCTCCGGAAAACTTTCCAGCTCATTTGCCTGGTTGCTGCAGGTTTGTAGTTCACACATATCTGTGCAATGCAGACCACTTTGCAGGCATGGCCATTCTGAAGGTTTACATGTTCGTGAGCAGGAGCATGATAGTAGGTCCAATACAGCCTCTGGTGCAGGTTTACCTTGCATCCATTCAATGGCCAGATCCCCATCATGGATCTTCCATCCATGATCCTTTGGATTTGGTACACTTGGATTGCACTCCAGACTCCTCCGCCAGATAGCAGCCTGATAGTTTGCTCATAAGGCATGCATGTAGAGACAGTCTTCACAAGGTGGAAGCTGACTGGAGTCTATTTCTCCGCGCCTTGCACAAAATAGCTGGTAGCGAAGCGTGTTAACATTAGTTGTGCTTGTGGAAGGCAGATACATCTGGCATGTGAAATAGCTCATCTGAGACCTCCCAGGAGCTTCCCAATTCTGAATGTGTCTTGGCAGTTCTTGTCAGTCTTCAGTTTTTTAAATATGGTTGACTTTCCACGACCACTGAAAGCGCTAACTGTATAGGAAGCTGTTTGGGCTTAACAATACAGACCAGTGAGCAGTGATAACTAACATGTCTTTGGGTTCATCAGGTGGGAACTTCCTTTCACCAGTAATTCGTCTAGTCGGTCCCATGACACCTCCAAGAGGCTAGACACTGATCTCTGGCGTCCCAGAGACACTCCCCTAATGCCAGGTTTCACTGCTCCCCGCACCAACCCAACATCCTCCTTTACCTTACTTACACACGGCTTTCTCAGCCCAAACAGCACTGCCACCTTAAACAAACTCAGGCTCTGTACATGCTAGCTCCAGTGCCGATACTACCTATCCTAGCACATTCACCATACTCTATTTCACACATTACATAGCATAACTCCAGTATAAGCTAAAGTTAAAGGCGATAGAGAAGATAAACTCCCAGGACCAGTAGTGATGTTACGCTCGAGCCAGTTTGCTCAACACAGTGTCGATCTTTTGAAGTGCAAGTGTTCCGAGGCACTGCTTCGGCATGCCCACAATCACATGACTACCGGGAGCAAGGCCTCCTTACAGGCAGTCTTGAGGCTTTTCCAGGTTTTCCACTTAGATGCAGTTCTGACACACAGCCAGCAGATGTCATTCTTCTGACTGTATGAAATGCTTCGAAGCAGCGTGTCATTCTTGAAGCAGGTGTGTCAAAGTGGTTCAATGCTTCATGAAGCTTCGATTTCACCATCACTACGGATCAGTGAACACACTCACCTTGCAGCATGGTCTCAAACAAAAGTGATTCAAATAGGCCACTCCCACACTTAAATAACCCTCCTCTTCCTGGATTTTCTCCTAAGAGGACTGACTGGTGGATATCTCCACCTGATCTCAAGGAGTTATGTACCCTGCTTAGTAGGTCCCCCTGCTGGCCCCCAACTGACATTATCCCTCCTCATCCAAATCCACTGACTAGCTCTGGCTGCTTCATCTGACATTTCCTTCACTGTCTTCCTCAAACTCTGTCCCCGCACTCCGAGTTCCCCCAGGAGCGAGACAGCTGATCTTGCTATGAATCCCCCACACCCCACTTCCACTAGACAAATCCTAGTTTTCCATCCTTGCTGCTCAGCTTCTGCTCCTAAGTCTGCATACCTAAGGTTTTTCCTTTCATAGGCTTCTTCCACTGAGTATTCCCAAAGAACTGTCAGCTCAGTGAAATAAACTATCCATTTACACTGCTTTACCTTAACGTAGACATTGATTTCCATCTTGAAAATGAAACTGTTCTATCGCCCTCTTCAAAGCCAGACTCCATTGAGAAAAACAGTAATTTAATATTTACACAGGAGCTGCTTGTCTATCACTGCCTCGATCAGTTAGTTAGTTTGTGTTACTGTGTGACTTTGGTATTTAAAAGGGTTGGTTGGTTCAGATTCACCAAAGTCACACAATAACACAAACTAACTATTTGATCGAAGCAGCAGTAGACCAGTGGCCATTTCCCAATCACAAGCACCTTCTAGGCGGCCACACCCTTGCCTCCTTACTAACTTATCCCTTCTGTATTTCTCCCCCTCACGGACAAACTGAATTGCTAAACTCCTGTTCTTAAAACCCTCTGAATTTACCAGTCTTCATTTCCCTTCCATGCCTGCAGCTAAACTTTTCAACACCTGGTTATGTCGCCATGTATACCGGCCTTGTGACAAGCTAACTTTACAGCCTGACAAAATATGCTTTTAGGTTGTGGTACCTGAACACAATGGGTATGATGGGTCCCCATTTACCCACAGTTTTAGGTTCTGGGGGGTTGGTAACACATCATATGTAGCGCCTACCAGTAATCTAATATGATTCTTCTCCATACTCGACAGGTCCCTCCAGCTAAGCTTCCTCTTCTCTACACTTTCCCAATTCAACCACTGTCCCTGCTTAGCCTGAGCCACTACCTTTGCACCCCTTAATATCCCCTCCTGTCTACGTATCTGTTCCACTACCAGCTTTCTTTTATCTTTGAGACCTGCTTTATTCCATACCAGTTTGCCTGAGCCATAGCCCCAGGCCTCCCCGGCCAAACTGAACATTACCTACATTATCTGCATGCCTAAGAGCTGCCTCTGCCTCCTGAACTGCCAATCTTGGGTTCCACTTCCTCCCCTTGGTTGGATTTGGAACCACACTCCTAACTACCACGTCCTTACTCCCAGATAACAACAGCTCTGTCCTGACCTTTGTACATTTATATTCCTCTGTTAAACTAGATACTGGCAGCTGAAGTATCCCTTTTCCATACAATGCAACACTACTTAGGCACCTAGGAGCACCCAACCACTTCCTAATATAGGAGCTAACCGACCTTTCAATTCTCTCCCCTACGGATATTGGAATTTCATAAATTGACAATGGCCACATTAACCTAGGATATAGCCCAAATTGCAGACACCACAACTTCAACTTTCCTGGAACTTCAACTTTCCTGGAAGTTCTGATTTATCTATTCTATCCAATCCTTCCGCCACATCTTTTCTAAATTTCACCACCTGTTCCTCATCATTCAACTCCACATTGTACCATCTACCTAAGCTCTTTACTGACTTTTCCCTAATTGTTGGGATTTCCTCATCATCTATGACAAACTTCCTATCACTTAACTTCCCTCTACGTATCGAGATGCTTCTAGACTTACTAGGCTTGATCTTCATGCTGGCCCACTTGAGGTTCTTATTTACCTTCTCTAGTAGCCTCTTTGCACATGGCATTGTTGTGGTCACCAGTGTCATGTCATCCATGTAAGCCCTAACTGGTGAAGATGCAACCCGTTCTGCCGTCTCTCCCCACCAACCACTCACTTAGAAGCCCTGATGATTACTTCCATCGCCATAGTAAATGCTAATGGAGAAATTGTACACCCTGCCATGATGCCTATTTCTAGCCTTTGCCAACCTGTTGTGAAACCTGCCGTACTTAGACAAAACCTAATATTCTGAAAATATGCTTTCACTAAGTTAACAACTACATGTGGCACTTTGAAGTAGTGCCAGAGCATGCTAGTATGCTCTAAACACCCTGCAAAACCTGGTATTCCTGCCTTCTGCACCATAGTATCTAATAAGCTATTCCTTTCTAAGTAGCTAGCTAATCTCTGCACTACTACACTAAAGAATATGTTTCCCTCCACATTCAAGAGAGAAATCATCTGGAATTGGCTAAGGTCCACAGACTCCTTCTCCTTAGGAATGAGGACACCCCCTGCCCTACGCCATGCTCTTGGGATAATTTGTTTCTCCCAAACTACTATTTAGCTGTTTCCACAAAAATTTAAGGATATCATGCGCACTTTTATAAACCTGGTAGGGGACTCCATTAGGCCCTGGGGCCGAAGAAGCCTTTGCACGCCTGACCACCTCCTGAACTTCCTTCCATGAAGGTGGCCTGACATCCATCTCATGCTCTATCCCTCCTAATGGAGGGATATCCGGTGGAAAAACCTATAAAAACTATCCTATTCTCCTCTAAATCTGAATATGTATTTCTCCAATATTCTTCAACCTCTAGCCTTTCTTCTTTAAGCTGCCCTCCCTTTTCCTGGCTAAACAGTCCTTTAACAAACTTAAAAGGGTCCCTGAAAAAACCTGTCCTTACATGTTCCTTCTTCCTCCTCTTTTTCCTGAGATGCTCTGCCCTTATAAGAACTGCTAGCCTGCTTCTCAACTCCTCTTGCAACACATTTATTCCCTCCCTTTCTTCTTCTGTAGCCTTTTTCCACTGCTTTCTTAACTGTCTCCTTTCCTTAACTAACTTCTCTATTTCTCTTTGCCGCCTAGACTTACCTGACTGTACTCTCTCACCCCTCTTTCTCTCATGCACCCCAAACCTCTCTGCACCATATGAGTAAATTATATCTCCCATGTTTTGTAACTTTTCTATTGCATTTCCTTTAAGCCTGCTTAAGATTACTGACAAATCTCTATTAACTATCTCCCATTCTTTACTGTCATTTGCCCTAGGCCATCTAACTCTAACCTTTTGCTCCATGGTTCTCTCTCTGACTGGCATACTGACCTCAGTGTCACCTGCATCCTCTCTTACCACTCCCTCCTCCTCCTCCTCCTCAGCGGCAGTGTTACTGATATCCTTCTACCTGTCGCTGGACTTCATCCAGCTGACTTCTTAGGAAGTACTGATCAAGGATGATGGCAGCAGGTGGGCCCCTCTATTTTAGGACGGCCTACAATGGAGAAATAAGGCACCTCCTTCCCTCTGCTAGCCTGGGAGTCCGCCTTAGGCAAGCTGTAGCACTCCCTTTGCCTCCTAGTTATGGGTCAAATAGCAACTGGGCAGCTCTGAGTGCTAGTAGGCCTAATGTAGGCTACAGTAACACTGAGTGTTAGCACAGTAACTGCGTAATCAATTTCCCCTCCTTGTGATTGTCTTCATTAATAAAATTGGTGCATATTTAAATAAAATATTTCAAAAAATTTGTAATACAAAAAATACTTGTCTTAATATGAATGATCAACTGGGCAAGTTACATGGGGCTATCTATTAGTTAATTTTTTGCCCTATTTGTAGTGTTTTGCCTACACGGGTGTAAGTTTATTTACAGAGTGATAACTATAATTAAGCTAATAGATAGGCAGGGCTATCATACCAAAATATAAACTAGAGACCTGTAGAGTGATAAAAATGCCAAAATTGTTTGGTTCCCGTGGGTGATAGGGGCCTACCAAGCTGTGAAAACGATCCCTTTAGCCCCTGTACTAATAGGGCCCCATTCTGTTTGTCTGTTTGAAGTTCTGGCTGCACTAGTTACCTCTCAGGGGCTGGTGACATCAGATGGTGAGGTGAATAATCTAATAACCTACTTTTATGATAAGATGACATGTTTGGCACATATAAATGCAATTTTGGGGTGATTGGCTTATTAACATTCATAATGGCAAACACATATACACATGCCTTTTGGATTTTTTATTCGTTATTCCATGTCTGCCTGTAATTCATGTGTGTTTAGGTGTATACATTTTTTAAAAGGAGCAAGGTACTGATGAATGCTGCATTGTGTGCAGCAACTGTCTGTGAACATTCAGTCCAAATTTGGTGACATTCTGATAATTATTTCCCGAGATTCATGTGATAAGGCAGACACCGTCCCTTTTGGAGAAGCCTCAATTTTGACTATTTTCAATTTTGGGGAGGACCCAAAGATCATCCAAAATTTTTTATTAAGCTAATACATAGGCAGGTCTATCATACCAAAATGTAAACTAGAGACATAGAGGAAGTCAAAAATACCAAAACTGTTTGGTACCTTTAAGTGATACCAAAATCTGCCTTGGCCACTGGACTGAAAAAAAAAAAAAAAAAAAAAAAGATTTTTTTTTTCTTCCTTTACAATTTTACAATGTAAATTGCAGAATCTGTCTTGAGAGATTACAATCCCACTGACTGGTCTGGACATCTGCACATTCATACATACACGCATGCGCGCACACACACACACACACACACACACACACACACACGCCCACACGCACACTGTGATTGTGATCAAAATGGGGCAAAATGTGCAAATGACATCGCAGAAATAACAGACATATACCAAACTGTACAGTGAAGTAGTTATTTTCAATCTTTAGTCAAGCAATATAAGTACTTTAGTAACACCTGTGTTGGTGTTCCACAGATGTACAGGGGCTGAGAAAGACTGTGAATCAAGTTCTGACATTTGTAAGTGTGTGTGAATCTACATACATTCCACTGTTCCCGTGTTGTGAGTGTATATTAACCTCAGTGACTTATCTCCTCCTATGATCCTGCGTCTGCGACGCTGGTTATTGAGTCTCAGACCACAGGTCCGCATGGCCACAGCAGCATCTCCCACAGGATCCAGGGTGTAGTCACAGATGACACCTGCATCCTCACTGTGGCGACAGTCATGGCTATCCTGACCCACAGCCGAACACTGTCCTAAGGACATCTCAGCACCCAAGCATCGAACGTTGTCCAGGTGGATGGGACCTTGACCCTCACCAAAGTATGCCATGGATCGAGCTTTAGCCACACCCCTGGAGGGTCAGCACACAAAGACAAACAGCATCATGATTAATTGTTCCTTTTTTTCTAAAAATTCCCAGTACATTTATTTTATTTTGTCTGCCGTCCACTGTTAGTACTGTGACTGAACAAACCTTAAAGCTACAGTTGGTAACTTTTAGAAAAATATCTTGTCACATTTGCTCAAAGTGTCACTGTATTCACATATGAGACAAATAATCTGCGAAAAAAAATTCATATTACTCTGCCTACTCTATTGCCTTACAGTGGTTCTGATGGTTTTGCTGCATGTGAGTCAAACTGTTAAACTAGGCAGCAAAGATCAAATATGAAACAAGATTCTGTTACTGCATTGCCTATTTCTGTCATCAAATGTTTTCAGAAAGATATCTTAGTGACTGTTTAGTTGGAAAATGAGAAAGTTGGTGCGGCCAGTGGGCAGTGCTTAGTACTTTGGTCGACTGTGTCCAAAATGGCAGCCAAGTCACAAACTTTCTCATTTTCTAGCTAAACAGTCACTAAAATATGTTTCTGAAAAGATCTGAGGAGAGAAATAGGCAATACAGTGACAGAATCTTGATTCATATTTGATCTGCCTAGTTCTACAGTTTTACCACACTTCAAGTGCAATGATTGACGAGATTGACAGCTGTGTGAGACTTCTGGAGTCTGATTGGTTGGTTTCAGTGCGCATGGTAGATTCTAGTGAATGCCAATAGAAGCAGGAGAAAGAGGAGAAAGGACAAGATATTTTTCAGAGAATATCTGTCTCAAGTACTTCTTTCAGAATAAAGTTCAACAAACATGAAAAAAATATTTTCATAAATGAGACTGTTAGGTAAGTGTAGCTTTAATGCAACAAATCAAACCTGTTTTTTCATAAATAAATTTGATTATATCAGCTTTGATAATACCCCTTTGAGGTTCAAACCAGTTGGTATTTGAAACAAGTAACTGTTAAATGTCACCTAAATTAAAGCGTTCATTTACTTTTTCTCCCACTCTGCCTAAAGTGACTGAGCAATGTATAGCGGCCAGTTTAAGCCACTAGTTTAAGCCACTAAGGGGCAACATAGACAGGCTAATGACTAACTGACACACTCGCCTGACCTAACCGACTGCTGTTCATCTGGGGGAAAACAAAGACTTCTTCTTGTCTTTGATGTTTAACTTATTTCTCACCGCTGTAGTCTTCAGTGAAAAACATGCAAGCATCCATGAATCTGTGTATATAAACCATTTAAAGGAATAATATTTCACTATTACATTCAGCAGCATACACCTGGCTTGACATGACCTGGTGTTGCCGTAAAAAAACATGATATGTGCTTCTCCATCTACTGTAGCAACACCGTCCCTGAATGAATGGTTCCTACCTCTATACACATATACAGATGGCCATGACAGTACAGTGACCCCTACAGGACAAATTAGCATCCCACATACATTTTACACCAGGGATGGCTCCTATAGAATGTTTCTTCTCTGTGACAAGCTTCTGTGTTCGTGTCTGTTGATCTGCAGGTGGACCATGAGGGAAAGGTAGGAGATCAACAAAGTCATTAGGACTAATATTCTGGGACAATGAATGTTTGAACCAGGGGCGATTGCTCTGAGACAACAAGGGAGGCTGAACTTCCCCTATAATTTCATAGAAGAAATTATCAAATATGCACTATTAAATTTACATTAAAATAAGAATTTACATTGCATTAAACGTGCGCTAGGATGCTTTTAACATCATGACTATGATTTTCAAACGTCAGCTGTTTATCGCCAGTTTTCAAATGCGACCTCCCTGTCATACATTCTTGTGTCAGCACGGTGGACGTGGACCCTCCAGACAGCGCTGAGCAGGTTTTTTCCATGCAGCAAAGAAAAGACGGTCATTGGATAAATGCAACAAAATCGTCACTTCCAGGGAGGCTCCGCTTCCCTGGGACCTAATGGAACGGTAGGCGGGAGAGGACACTCGGTGTATGAATGATGATTGGAGGAATTGTCTAAAAGGCTGAACCCCTTTGTGATTGACAGCTCATCGCATTTCGAGCTCAGTCCCATTCAGATTTTTCTAATGAGAGTCTTCTGACAGAGTGCCGTCGGGAGTTCCTTATTTCCATAAGCGATATAGCTCATTTTGACCGTTAAACCCATCTGAAAATCTTTGAGGCGTGTTTTGCTGTGGTTCTATGGCATGAGTGTGGTTGAAAAACAGCTTCAATTAAATGTTCCTTTTATAAGATACTGCCTCGCTACAATATGACAGATTTTATGGTGTAAACTTAAAGTGAGCTTTCCCTGTTTGAAAGACCAGCAGCCGCCACTGGTTTGAACCAATTTTTATGGCAATCCATAAAACTGCCTGAGACCTTCTGAGAAATTTAATGTACAACATCAAACCAAAAATGTCAACCTGTTGGTGGCACTAATGAAAAGTCAGTTGATCACAGTAGTCAATAGGTTTCATCCTCCATTCATCCATGAATATCCATTCCACAGCCATCAATACAACAGTTGTCAAGATATTTTATTCTGGGCCAAACGGGTGAACTGACCAACCAATGAACTGTCCTTGCCATCCTCAGAGTCAAGCTGTAGCTGTAGCTACACACATTTATGCCCCCAAAAGGATGAACTAGGGTTGGGTGATATGGCAAAAATATCAAATCACTATTTCTTTTAGGCAGGATCACAATCAACGATCTTATCATTCTTTTTCATGTTGGTTTTTAAGACGATTTTGCAAGGTACTGAACAATACAATCAAACTAATTTCCCTGTTTAAAAATTATAGCTTTACAAGGTAACAAAACCTACAAGAAAAAGAATAACAGATTATTAAGGCTAAAGTACCTTTTCAAATAGATTTGAATCCAGTCTGCAATTCTGAAATTATGAACTTTCCACAGGAATCTTGACATGGTTTAGACTTGTATTGTACATTAAGAGACTTCTGCATAACTCCCAAAATGAACATTGGTTTCAAAAGGTAAAAAACACTTGAGTTCACCCTTGCTACCTAACATTAAGAAATCTAACATTTGGTAGGAATTGTAACAGTCAGGTAGCTTATTAGACACAGATCCTCAGCAGTCTATTCACACTGTTTTTGAGGTAGCAGTATGAAACATTTGGTTCGATCCCGGGTGTGGGAGCCCTTCTTTGCAGGGTTTGCATGTTCTCCTCGTATCAGCGTGGGTTTTCTCCGGGTACTCCAGCTTTCTCCCACAGACCAAAGACAGGCATGATTGGGGATAGGTTAACTGGTGATTCTAAATTGTACGTAGGTGTGAATGTGAGTGTGAATGGCTGTCTGTCTCTACATGTCAGCCCTGCAAAAGTCTGGCGACCCTCAAGAGGATAAGCGGTTAGAAAATGGATGGATGGATGGTTTTGGAAAATCCAAATCAGTTCCATATTACAGATGTAGATTTTTTTCTAGTGACCAACTCCTCTGTGTCGTCACCTATGCCGCTACGTTTCCAAATACAAAGGAGGAGGGGCTACCGGATGTGTGTATGAGCCATAGAGCTGCAACTGATAGAACGTTCACTGTAGCATGATACTAAGAATCTCTCTGTAAAGCAGACTGTGAAGACATTTTAATTGTTCACAGTCTAATATTGTCATATCGCCCATGACTAGGATGAACCCTTTTGATTCTGGACACTGCATGAGCTTTTCACTAGCTATCTTAGGTAAAAATATCAAAGAAGGTGTAATCATACTCACATGAATCCCATCTGTCTGCAAACTACAGCTGCATTGACATCATTCCAGCCATCATCACACACACTTCCCCACTGGCCGTTTATGAAGACCTCCACTCTACCCTCTTTCCTGCTCTCTCCAGCAACCAAACGCACCAGAGGGCCTGCATTACAGGGAAAACGTGCCATTATAGTCATTATCACAGTTATTCATGCCCTGAGGTTTTCAGAAGCCTTTACAAGGGTTATACACAAATATAATGACTGGGAAAACTACTCTCAATAGCCAACAATGTGTGTACTTACCAATAGAGGGCAAAAGGTCTGGTATCTCATTGGTATCACCTCTCCTCTCACAGCGGACACCTACATCCTCACTGTGAGAGCAGTCATGTTGGCCCCACTCAGAGTGGGAGCAAGCCAGTAAACTGGCCTCTGTTCCTCGACACTGCACCTCGTCCAGAAGGATAAGCCCTCGACCTTCTTCATACACCCCATCAGGAGCCACCTCTGCATGGCCCCTGTAAACAAGGCAAGATGGCAGAACATAGAGCCCATCATGGACACTCGTTCATTCATGTATTCATTGATCAGAGACATGCAACCATGTCAGTGTTTCCTACAGACTTAATTAGATAGTTTGCGGAGAGTTAACGTGGTACAAATACTTTCTTTGTTCATGAAGTTCAATGACACTGTATAATTCTCAGGTTTATCTGTGCAATGTATGACCTATACTGTAGAAACACTGTATGTGCCACTGCAAGTTTTGTGTAAACTGAGTGTGTTTGTGTTTTCATTGTAACCAACCTCTTCTGGCTGATTTGAGTTTGGTGAAATTATTTGACTGAAGTTGGCTGGTAAACAGATATTTAATCATCAAATCAGTCAGATGTGTTGATTGTGATGTTGATGTTGGTTGGTCTGTCTGTCTGTCTGTCTGTCTGTCAAAAATACATTTTGAAATGTTCAGGCAACCAAACTTCTGCCAAAGTATTTAAAGCAATTCTCCAAACGCCATTGACGTAATGGGCAATTTAACATTTAAAGCAATAAACACTTTCATAATCCCAAGATTATCTCTGTCAATTTAGGTCAACAAATGACCTTTCTTCAGACACCATCTATAGACCAAAAACTACCAGCTTTGTACACAATATATATAAAATATGAAAAAACAGGCAATTTACTGTGTAATTATGGGTGGATATTGGTCTCCTTTATCTTAAATGTTTCCTAATTTCCCTGACTTCGCTCTTATTGTTAGTCTGAAGCCCGATACACACTGTGCGATTTGGCCTGTCCCAGACAAAAGATGACCGATGTGAAAGAAATGTGGTGTTATCTCTGGTTGTGGCTTTTAAACAGGGGTCCCCGTTAAAGGTTTTTTTGGGGGGAGTTTTTCCTTATCCTCTGTGAGGGTCCAAACTAAGGACAGAGGGATGTCGTATGCTGTAAAGCCCTCTGTGGAAAATTGTTATTTGTGATATTGGGCTTTATAAATAAGATTGATTGATTGATTGATTGAAAGGTTCAAGAATGGCCGTTGTCACGGTCCTGAGATCAAAGACAGTCTGGGATAAAATTCTGACAGTGTCATAAATTTGGGATGACCATCTCACTGTGTGACTGCTGTTACCACCTACGTCTACTAATCAACCAAAAGAAATGCAGCATGAAATGACGCACCGGCGCCAAACCCAAACAAACAAACAGACAGATAGCAGCTTGCAATGGAGGCAAAACAAGCTAAAAGAAATGTATAGGATCCCAGCAAAGAGGAAAACCTTGTTGAGTTGTGGCAGCAGAAGCCTTGCCTGTATGATGTGTCCTCCAGCTCTTACCATGATTGTGTAAAGAAGAACGAAGTATGAAAGGAAACAGCTGTGGAGTTGCAGCTGCCAGGTGAGCAGCCTAGCAGCTAGCAAACACACACCCAGACACACTGCAGTATAGTGCCCACAAAACTTTAGGTTATTTAATAATGTGGCCCTCTATGTTGTGCTTCACAGTTGGAGAAATAATAACCCGTGCAGCATCCTTGCACACTCAGTATGGAAAGCTACTGCATTTTACGTCATAGGAGGCTTTAGTTACTCCCACACACACACAAAGTCACTGCAAAATATCTCTGTATATTTTGCCTTAAATAACCTTAACAAACATCTTACATGGAAGGTATACACAAACATAAAATCAGGCAAATGAGAAGCATGGTCAGACAAGAAGGAGGAGAAATCTATATTCAACTGTTGTAATTCTGTGGCCTTTCATTCCATCCCAGTCCCTTGCACTACCATTTCCACTTACACAACAGATATTTTATTAATGTTATAGACATATATCCTTGACGTTTGCTGAACACATTCATGCTTCCCAGAGGAAGAACTGTTTTAAATCTAGCTTGCCAAGCTCTTGATTTACAGTTTGATCTATGTTCCAGCCCTATCAATTATCATGAACTCTAGTTCAGTCAGACAACTCTGGATTGAATTTAACATTTATACTGAGCATAAATATTGCATACTGAAGCAGAGCATGAATAGTTTTAGCATGGCTGAAGCAAGTTTGGCGTCAGGCTCTATCTCAATTTATTCATTCCCTGAAAATGATCTGTATTACAGACATTACAGGGAATGAATAGCAGACCCCCAGCTGGGGATCCTAGAAATAGAGCCCACAGGTGGATGCTGGGGAGGTGGTGGGATTTGAGAAGCTTCATAAGCAGCACACAGCAGTGGCAGCAGCAGCAGCAGCAGCAGCAGCGAAAGCAACAGAACCCAGCAGGATCAGCAGCAGCAGAGCAGCAGAGCAGCATATGCATGCAGCAGCAGAGTAGCAAGGAATGATCAGGTAAGCACGGGAGGTTTAAATAGCCCGCCCTATCAGCTGAGGAGAGCATGTGGCTGATCAGCTGATCAGGATTGCGCACTTGAGTTGTCTGCCTGAACTAGCTCCGCAGGCTTCGCATCATATAGTGACCCAAAGAATGAGCTCAAGCAGACATGAAGATTAGATTTTCTTGCATGGTTGTCACTTTAGAATTCTAAAGTTCTATCTGACATTTTTGTCAAAACTGAGCTATTCATATATTCTTATTCTGTGAAAACTTAATAACATTGTGTGAGGTGTTTTTTTTTTTTTAAAAAAGTTATTTAGAAAACAAAAAAGTTAATATCATTTATGTTATTTGGAATGCAAAACTTTGAAGCTCAATATATCAAAACCACTCAGAATGCAGGTAGAACCTTTATTATTTTAAGGTGGCGCGGTGTCTGATACCTCATACCTCTTTTCCACCAAAATTTGGTATGCAGTTTTTATTTTAAATGTGGTAAAATCTGTTAAAAGTAGACAGTGAAATGCTTTGCTATTACCAGAAGAGCAGTCACGCACACTATCGCCGACTGCAGTGGGTGAATGTGTTACAGGTTCTGCAGCAGGCAATCGAGTGCCTTTCTGTTTTTTTAACAGATTGGTAACCAGTAGAAAGCAGCATAGAGGCCAGTGAAAGAGTTACAATAGTCCCTTCTTTTTTATAACTTACTTATTCAGTCTCTCTGTAAAACTTAGTGCAGAATGAATTTTGAACAATGTTAGAGCACTGCTTGTACAGAGACGGACAGTATATGTGCCGGCCCGTCACTGCATTGCGCCCCACAAAGGGGCTAAAATTAGCGTGTCCACAAGGTTGTCATTTTGTCATCACTGCCAATCAGAGCTGAAGCCCATAAATACCTGTGACTACTGCAGAGTAATTTGTCCCGGGAGTCAATGCTGATTACAACCTTTCCCAATAAACAAAAAAGCCAGATGTTAGTAGGTTTTTTCTGCAATGTGAAAGGGGCTTTACGGTCAGGTGAGGGGCTCAGATGGACTCGGTAGCTAGAAAGGAAGCAGGAAGGAGTAGAACTGCTGCACCTTTGCACTGAAAGGAGCCGGTTCAGGTAGTTTGGGCATTGATCAGGAGGCTTCATGGACCACTGTCTGGGGAGGTATTCCAGGCACATCCAACTCTGAGGAAATCCCTTTGTAGACCCACCCTGAACATGCTGGAGGGTTTTGACTGTATGTCAGGAAAAGTCTTGGAATCCCTCAGAATAAACTGAAGGACATGGCTGGGGAGAAGGGCACCTGGACTACCTTACTTAGGCCCCGATCACACAGAAAGCGTTTTACAGGATGCAAAATGGTGTATCACAGTGCCTTTAAAAAAAAACAAAAAACATCACCTTCTTACCCTAATCTTCCAGTAATTAGTAGCTATTTACTAAAATGGACAGGTAGAGTGTACTTGCTCTAGCTCTGGTTGAGGGTGAGAGGCTGTCAGCAAATAGTTTGTCGGGCACAGAGAAACAGAGATCTGTGTGGGTACATGATACGCTAAAAAAGATGGTGGATCACGGAGAGTACCACCAGTTAGTGGAGCTTCGCTTCCATGAAGGCCGTTTCCAGGTGTATTTTCGGATGACTTGGCGACAGTTTGAAAACCTGCTGTCTAGCCTAGCATAACAAAATGAACACAACCTACAGGGAGTCCATTGGTTATGCCAAGCGACTGAGCATCACCAGATTCTCCTCCATTGTTTACCAACTGTATACTTGTTGTCGTGACCATCACAGAAAGCCTGCCTCTCAAATCATCTGCTTTGATAATAGAAAAAAAAGAGGAGATGATGTGGGGCACTTTGTCCACTCTGAATTGAAGATTTTTTAACTAGAGGAATTTCCAAGCGCTCCAGCAAAAACAGTAATTGCCTAGAGCGCAGAAACGCAAAAACAGCGAGCAAAAAGCTTAATTTTTATAAGAAATACTACAAAAAGCCGCCTCCAGCTGGTAAAATGCTTTCTGTGTGATCAGTGCCTTACCCTGCTGCCACCACAACCACAAACCAGATTTTAAAAAAAAAATAGATGGATTGGTAAGGTTCTGAGACTAGCAAAATTGTCAGTATGTTGTTTAACTTTCGTGAGGAAAAAGAAAGGACTTTCAATTGCTTTACCAGGGAAAAGAAACTATTAGTGCTCTGAAAAATTTCATCCCTACTTTAGATTAATATAAAATCACAGGGTAGTACACAATCTCCTAAGGCACAGAGGTCTTTCATAATGACTCAGATGTAGTTATGCACTGACCTGAAGCCCAGTTGTCTACACACTACCTGGGCGTTGATCTCAGTCCAGTTGTCATCGCAAACAGTGCCCCATTGTCCCTGGTGGTATATCTCCACACGACCCTCCCAGTGACTGTCCGCTCCCACCAGACGAACTGCACCGTCTGCTGCCAGACAAGGAAACACTAATTCTTAATTAGATCACATACTCTAGGAAGTGTATGGGGAATCTAATTTGTTTTAGTGCTGGTGTTAGTCATCTCTTTTAGTGCTGTTACAATCACAGTATGTCTGAGAGGATTCTCTGTTATCAAAATCAGGATATCTAAAAGTGCAAAGTCAGATGCAATTGAGCTTGCTGTAGACTTGTAAAAAAGTTTCACTACTCGGTGGGAGGGAGTCTTCTGCAGGGTTGTTAACATACAGCAAGGAATGCACAGACCTTCACTTTGTTCATTTTGAACAAAGAAGACAACTGATTTGAAAGAGGAGTGAGGAGGCCATCTATGCCAAACCAGCCATGTTCAGACCGAGTGGCAACCTCTGAAGCTGAAAAGTGAAGCCAACACACAAGTGCCGAAAACTGCAATTCCTCAAATGGCCACTTGTGGCTGGCTCCAAAAGCGAGTCAATCCCATAGACCCCCATGTTAAAATGCCCACTTTTACAGCAGAAATAAACATGTTTACAACCTGCTACGAAAAAATGGTTTTAGTCTCTATGGCTAATTTCAACATTCTTGACAACTATAGGGGGAATGATTTTTGAAATAACATGCCTGAATAAATATGTCCCAAATATGGCCACCTCAGCTCACTTCTGGCTCCAAAATTCCAAAATCAAGTCCACAAATCTATGGGTGACGTCACAGTGGCTAAGTCCATTATTGTTATACAGTTATGCTGCGTTCCAGGCAACCTGTAACTCGTGTTTTTACAACCTTCTACCCGTGAAAGTGCACTGGAACAGCAGTCAAACCCGTAACTTACCACCTGTGAACTCGTACCAGATCAATGCACTCCCAGTTACGCTTTCTGACGTCACACAGCCCTCTAAACCAATTACCTTACTCCTCTAAACAACAATGGCAGCCTCATGGATGTGGTGTTGATGCAGGTGATACATAGTGAGAAACAGACATAAAATAACCCTAATGTTAAGGCATTACTGGCAGTCGCTCTAACAGCTAGTTTCCAGTGCAAGAATAAGTCAATACAAAATACGTTTCCAAACACACAGATAACGTAAAATAAAAAGTATAATAGCATCTGTGACCTTATGCGCCGTTTCTCCTCCTCCGTTTCGCTCAAATGAGCAAGGAACTGGCCCCTTTGGTGACAGAAGTGATCATAAACAAACATAAACCCCACACGGTCCACCATGTTGCTTTGGGAGTTTGGGGTGACTTGCCTGGAACGCTATGAAGTCGTGAGTCGTGACTTGAAGTGGTGACTTACGGGCTCAGAAACTTGCCTGGAACGCAGCAAGACCAACAAGACTAAAATGGATTTAAACTTTGGCTATCAAATCTATGTCATAGCCTGATGTGCACCTCCTCAGAAATGTAAAGTTTGTCGCGGCGATGCAGACCTGTCTGTTTTTGTAAGCTGAGAACCATTTCCTCTGAGTAGAAACAGAGCTTTTAATTGCTTTCATTTTGACAAATAAGAAACAACAAAATTGTGAAGACAATAAAGTCCCCACAAAAAAGAATTTTAAGTCTTTTGTGTAATTTATCCTGCTTCATATGGGTAGAGGAAATCTCTGCTAGTTGCTAGGCTAATTTATACAATGTAAAATGCCATAGGCTTGTGCTAATAATGTTAGCATGTTGTATTTGTTTGGAAAATGTGTCCAGCAAAAGACAAGTGTTTTGTCTGTGAATCCTGTGTTATAATTAAGCTGTTTGTGTACTTGTAATTGAAATTGTCGCTATCAAGCCATGTTTAACCTGTGTTTTGAATCAACTAAACTTCACAGAAACCCCAACGCCAACTAGTGTTTTGGAGGTGTGACTGCAGAGTGACTCAGACACACCACCACACAAGTATAAATGCTCACAATGCCACATGCATAGGTTCTGCATAGAGCTGACACACAAGTATAAATGCTTGTAAAGAGTTTACAGTCATGCTAGTGGCTGTGAAGCTGTACTTAGGCACACAGTGCTTTGAACTATATGTTATGCTACAATGGCAACACAATTCTAAATTTAATGTTTAGCAGGCATAATCTTTACCATGTTCACCAACTTAGTTTAGCATGTTAGCATGCTATTTAACATAAAGTACAACTGAAGCTGATGGGAATGTCATTAAGTTGCATGTATTTGGTTCTAAACCAAAGTACTGGACAAATGTTGACCTGATTATGGCACCAGAGGAAAGGTTAAGCGTTCTCCAAAGTTTTTACAATGAAAATCAAAATGAGGGAAAAATAAGCCTGTACTAAATTTCTCAGCAATCCATCCAAAGATCGTTGAGACATTTCACCCAAAACCAAAAATGTGAACCTTGTGGTTGTGCTTGAGGAAAAGTCAAGTGATCACCTAAGTTGTAGGTACATCCTCTGAAGTTCATACATTTTGCGTTGAGATATTTTAAATTTCAAGTATTTCAAAGGGGTGGACGGACCAACTGAGTGACTAGTTGACAGACAAATATGAATTGAACCAACAAATAACATCCTGGAACTGCCAAGCCAGACACAAGGCTCAAAATTCCCCCCTCTGCTCAACCTGGGGAGGTTTATAAATGTTCAGCACATGTTGTCTCTTGCATAAAATAAAGAAAAGTCATACTTGTTTTGGTTCCTTCAGGAAGCAGAAGTCTCTTCCACCTCCACCAGGAAAAGCTGATTGTTAGTCAGTTTTCCAATTCTCTGCATGAGAATTTCCTGGGATATCAAGTCCAATTGCCTTTGACTTAGCACTTCTGGATATCACAGTGATACCTATTAGTAGAGGACAGCTTATATAACCACAGTAGAAATGTTGCAGTTTTTTCATTTGGCATAACATATTGGTTCAAAGGTCCTGCGTGTAGGATTTAGGGGAATATATTGGCAGATTTGGAATATAATAGAGTAAATATGTTTTCTTTAGTGTATAATCACCTGAAAATAAGAATTGCAGTGTTATCGTTACCTTGGAATGACCCGTTTATATCTACATTGCCTATGGAGGTCTTCATAATTCACCTCCCACTGAAAACCCCTGGAACCTCTGGATCTTGAGTTATCAGAGAAAAAAGGTCAGCGCCCCCCCCATTTCCAACATGCCAAACAGCATGGGAGAAACAATTATTTTTAACATTTAACTGTTTTATTAAGTGTTTTTACTGATTTAAATCGCTGGTCTGTTAGTTTGTTTGAATAGACCTCTGCAGATAATTCAGCTCAACAATGAACACTAAAAAAAATCTGAGCGGGAGAAGTTTCAGCTGGTTACAATGTCGAATCCTCACCTCTAGATGCCACTAAATCCCCGTAAATCTTACACATTGAAACATGAAATAAAACGTCAGTTGCTTTCCACAGGATTGATTACAGTGTCATCTAATATGAATGTGTGAGTTAGTGCGTCTTTCCTTCCTTGGCTCTGACCTGTGTATGGGTTGCAGGACACCCCTGCATCTTTCATGTGATCACAATTGTGTTGCTCCCAGGGGTTATGAGGACACTCCTCCAGAGAGAGCTCATTGCCTGTACACTGAACCCCATCCAGGAAGATGGGACCATCACCCTGACCAAAGTGGGCCCCTGTCTACGCCTTGGCCACACCCCTGTCAGACAAAAAAATAAAAAAACTTTTATGTGTACAGTAGCACAAGGTCAGTTAGGCTGAAAAAAGTTTTTGAAAAATTTATATTTACATTAATCATGTAAGGGTGAGTGCCATTATGTGGGTCTAAATTTATTGTGTTTGTGCACTGCTGGGAGTAGATTTGTCACCAAATATTGACATTGATACATCAAAATAATTATAATATAATTGTCTTTCTCTTTGGAGACAGGTAGAGTTTCAACATGCCTTGGTGCTTCTGTATAGCATTCATTCAGACTTTTACACTGAAAGGGTTTTAGATTCAGAGAGATGCCAATAGACTGATCCAGACATTCTATGTAAAGCAGTAGCACAGCAATTGTTTTTACCCCAGGTTCAACTGTCGGCACACCACCTCAGCATCAGTGTCATCCCACTGATTATTGCAGACGGTTCCCCACTTGCCATTATGGTACACCTCGACACGGCCCTCAAAGTCCTCCAGGCCTCCCACCAGCCTTAAAGGGATGCCAGTGCCTGAGAAGCAAAAGGTAAAAGCCAATACTACCCTACACAATGATTTTCAGATTTCAGATACTAGGTCTCTGCACTGGTGGGCATGTAATCTTAGCCCTGCATTGTAACAATCATCATCTTCACAGGCTCGATAGAGGCCCATGTTCCAGCTCTGTCACACACTGTATGTGTCACAGCAATAATGTATCCACAACATATTTGTCATTACTTATCAATGATGTATTTGTTTATTTAATCCCATGTGACACCCTGGCCTCACCTTCAGGTTCGGCACAAACCACCCCTGCTTCATGGCCATGGTAACAGTCGCTGGTGACAAACTTCCTGCTACGGCATTCCAGTAGGGAATTCTCATTACCGCGGCAACCCAGACGTTCAAAGTGGAAGACGGAACCTGGGCCGAAGTAGGAATGCTGCAGGGCTGTACCGACCTCCCTGCATGGACAGCAGATACACAGACAGACTAACACATGCAGGCTCCTCCCCTCACAGCAAACATCATTCAAGGGCAGTGGAAATGTTGCTTTCACGTATTCAAATGACAATTCTGATGGAAGCTACTCTGTCCACTCATACAAAGCTTAATGCAATCAGCAGCACTGCTTCCCAGAAAATACTGCTATTTTGAAAACATTATTGCTTCACACACATCTTCCCCCCAGCAGCACAGAAGATCCATACAATCAACACAGTTTCAAGGTGAATACCCAAGATGAGTGTCACCAATTCAGTATCTGACCAAATGTCTCCCCTTCTGTTCATTATGTTCTTGCAGAACACACTGATGTCACAGCAAAGTTGACCTTTTACCTTTTGGATATAAAATGTAATCACTTCATCATTTTATCCTATTAGACATTTTTTTAATTTTGTCATAATTAGTGTATGAATTCTTGAATTATGGCCAAAAACATGTTTTGTGAGGTCACAGTGACCTTTGACCAGCAAAGAGTCCAAGTGGACATCTGTGCCAAAGTTGAAGAAATTCCCTCATGGCGTTCTTAAGATAGAGCATACAGACAGCCCAAAACATAATGCCTCTGGCCACTGCTATTGCTGGTGTGAAGGCTTAAAACAAACAGATAAAATTGGACAGTGGTTCACAACTGGTGCAGCCATGGGGTCCAGATTTGTCCTTAGTCATTAGTTCAAGGTCCACAATTACTAGCCCAGGCTACTATTTGCTTGAAACAATGAACTCAACAGGCTTATATTTGGGACAGGTGTCTATATGAGACAGGCCTTTAATTTCTTTCACGCAAAACTGTTGCTCAGCAAAGATGGGAAATAATATCGAGAAATGGACACATATTCTGATATGACCACTTCAGAGGAAGGGAGTCACCAGTCTGATTTGGTGCTCATGGTTTCAGTAAAATTTACTTAAAGATTAAATTGTGGAGAAACTAACCGAGCTAAAAATGTGTAATAATAATAATAATAATAATAATAATACATTCTACTTATATAGTGCTTTTCATGACACTCAAAGATGCTTTACAAATTCAGTGACACAAAAAGAAAAAAAGAAAAAAAAAGAAATTTAAAAGAAATGAGGAGAAGAAACTTTGACTGAGTGTAAGCAGCGTTGAATAGGTGAGTCTTGAGGGATATTTTTGAATATGGAGAGAGAGGAGGAGTCTCGGATGGGTTTGGGGAGTGAGTTCCAGAGAGTGTGAGCAGCGATGGAAAATGCCCTGTCCCCCCAGGATTTGTGCTTGGTCCGGGTGGGGTGGGACAGGAGGCTGGCATCGGCAGAGCAGAGTGTGTGGTGGGAGTGTGACGATGGAGGAGCTCAGACAGGTAGGGCGGGGCCTAGTCTGAGCGGGCGGAAGTTTGCTGCATAGATCAGCCTCTCATTGGGCGGAACGAGCCACCTGCTGAAGTCCCGCCCTACCACCGTTTTCAACACGTCCTTTACTAACTTTTGCGGTGTTTGATCTTGCGGGGATGTAGCCATTTTTCTGCCATGGTTCGCGTCCTGTAGGCGATATTTTTGTGGGCGTGTTGCACCAAAACCTGTTTCCCCCCTGCAATATTTTTGCAAGCGCACCATTGCTGTGGCACCGCCAAGAACGATTGTGATTGGTTGAAATAAATAAAAAAGCCGGGGCATTTTTTTCTCCAATCTTAAAGTGAGAGTCAGCTCAGCCAGAGCTTTCTTTTCTTGAGAAAGGTCTGGTAAGCGAGACTAGGTGGGGCCTGGTTATTGAGGGCTTTGTATGTTATGAGGAGGATTTTGAAGTTGAGTGTAGCATCTCCATACTGATACATTTTTTAACATTTATATTTGTATTTTTAAATAAAAGCAGCTAACTAACATTAGTTTTAGTGGGTAGCCAACAACCTGTTTTAATATATGCAAAGAACTTCTATAAAAATGAACTGTTTGGCAACCAGACCAGGCGTCTAATGAGGCAGGAATTTATTTGTAAAAATGTGTAGCTACACCGAGCCAGTAAATGAAACTGGGTTTTTAACTGGGACCAAGCTTTTAATTTAAGTTTTATGGTATTCAGTATCATACTTGCATTTGGCCACTTCGCAAGCTAGTTTGCTGTCCTTTAGTCACTCTACAGGAAAGGAAGTCTACAGGAAATGGCACTTCGAAATGAAAGCTCTCTGGAATTCACTGTACCTCACATTAAAGTGTTTTTAACAAACTTGACACATTCGCAGTCCATTCAGAATGGACCTGCGATCCACTTTTGGACCACGACCCACCAGTTGGGAACCACTGAAATAGGAACTGCAGTGGTAGCTGAAACAAGTAGTGACTGGTGACCTCCACATACTACAAGCTATAAGCTCAACGGTGTTATCACCCTTTCATTTATTAAGTTTTAAGCCTGGCGTGGGGCTAATCAATAAGCCTCAGATGGCTGGCCTTCTGTGTTACCCTGTTCTGGTTGTGATGACGTCATTCCATTGGTTGATAGCACTTCTTCTTCTCCTTGTCTCCTTATTAGGGTAGAAACTGCTGCTGCACAATGGGTATATTAGTTATTTTATTCACTGTGACAAACTGTGCTGAGTGTGGTGAGCAGAGGGTTTGCAATGGAGATGTCTGTGTTAGATGTGTGTTAATGAAAAGCAGAACATCACTTTTAATACCACTTCTTTAACTTGCTTTATGTTGTGTTCACTCTCACTAATTTCTGTAGGAGAAAACACAAGCAGTCCAAACTGAAAAATCCCAATTCTTGAAGTGGTATCTCCGTAGCTCTTCGTTCCGAAATGTTTTGGTTTTTTTTGTTGTTTTTTTCCTGAAGAGGTGCAGGTGGCATATGGCGTAGCTAGAGCGGCTACATGTATTGGCCTCTTTAGCAATGCCATAACCCCTGACTAATGTCACTAAGAAGTAATAACAGGGATTTTAGGTTCCATTCCATTCTGTTAGTTTGCAAATAAAGCTGTCAGATAAATGTAAGAAGTTAAAGGTACAGTGTTTCCCCTCTGAAATGCACGAAGCAAAAAATGTAAGTATTTGTAGTTTTTGAACTGATACAACTCCTCTTGAAGGCCCTAATGTAGTGGCAGTGATTTAAACTAAAACTGCAACAAAATTGAAAGTTAGATTGGTTGTAGTCAGCAGCAGATTCATTGGCTGTTCACAACCATGGTTTCATATAATTATGTTCACCTGTGTATTGTCATTAGAAACATGTCTGGCTCTGTGAGACTGTCCTCACCCCAGTCCGAGCTGTCTGCATATGACGCTAGCTTCACGGTCAGTCCAGTGTGTGTCACATACTGCCCCCCACTGGCCATTTAGGTAGACCTCCAGACGACCACTGTTACCTGATGATCCCCCCACCAATCTGGCTGCACCTGTAGATGACACAAAAGTAACTCTGTTAGCAGGGGCATGAATATAGGCAGTGCAGGCAGCGTGGTTGCACTGGGGACTGTGTAGTGGGGAGGGCCCTTGCGAATGATTCAGACACCTGTGTTCATTCAAAGAACTTACGTTAAATTCAAAATGGTGCCTATAAGCTGTATACATATACATACATATATATATATATACAGTACAGGCCAAAAGTTTGGACACACCTTCTCATTCAATGCGTTTTCTTTATTTTCATGACTATTTACATTGTAGATTCTCACTGAAGGCATCAAAACTATGAATGAACACATGTGGAGTTATGTACTTAACAAAAAAAGGTGAAATAACTGAAAACATGTTTTATATTCTAGTTTCTTCAAAATAGCCACCCTTTGCTCTGATTACTGCTTTGCACACTCTTGGCATTCTCTCCATGAGCTTCAAGAGGTAGTCACCTGAAATGGTTT